TTTTTATTTGTTTCTATCACTTGTGAAAGTCTATCAGCTGATAAACGGTTAGCTTTATCGGTCAATAACCAACAAGCCGTTTGCTTATGTATAGATTTAGGCTTGTTATTTATTTGCACCTGCAACAAAGAGCTCTTCAATGCTGGATTGATCGAATCAGATATACATATACTATTAAAGCCCATCTTATTAATTTTAATTTCATCAACACTGTATAATTGTCACATCTTGATCTTCTTCATCCAAGTTGAACTAATCATTATCAACTTCACTACTTTGCACTCTTTCATCATCATAATCAGATTCAGCATTTGATGATGAATCTAAATCAGCTATCGAATAATTATCCGAATTAATATTCAATCTAACACTGTCAAATATATTTTTACTTAAATTATGTCGTTTAAAAGCACTGTGTTTCTTTAACAAAGTTAATATATTCGAATTACTAACTAGCTCTTTTTCACGATTAAATGAAGCTAATAATTTTTATTTCAAATTACTATGAGTATTCTAATTTATAGGGTTATTTCAATATATTCTTTGTAGTTAAATGTTAGTATTAAAAAGGCGAAGCGCACGTTACAGGATATTTTTCTATAGAAGAACTGTTCATATAATTTTCTAACTCAACGAACTATACACTTTAAAATAGGGAGTTCTTCTATATTACTTTATATATCGTTGATTGATATGTAGGTGGTTTGTATATCATTTAAATGACAAAAAGTATCCGAAAGTCAAAATATCTTTACAAAATCAAAAAAGAGAAAGCTGAGCTGATATTTAATTTTTTTATCGATATGAAGTATTCTATTGTTTACTATGTTTTAGTAATAATGCACTAACTTTTCAATAAAGAGTTGAAAGATTCGTACGATTTATCATGTATATTATTTCTTCAATCTTTAGTATTGTAGTTAAATTTTAATCGATGAACATTTTTTTCGTTGATGCGATATATACGGATTTGAATCGCAATAGGAAGTGAACTGAAAAAATGCGGAAGAAAATGTGAGCGTTTAGGGATTTTTATCATCAAATAATTTTTTTTAAATGCGACTTTCTGATTCAACTGACTCATTTATTGTTAAGAATGTCATCAAACGAAAAATGAATATGAATGGAATGTCGATAAAATAAAAACTAGAACAACATGCCTTCCTGTGCAAAACAAATGAAATGTCTAATTTTTTCGATTAATTTCCTCTACTATTGTCATTTCACCTCAAGTTTATATCACCGATAGATCAATTGTCATTCTATATACTGCCAAAATTTCAGTCATGAGTAGCGAGAAATGAACGAGAAAGCTGAAAATCTATCTCATGTACTCTTCCATTGTTGTGGCAAATATTTATAGATTTTCTTGTCGTTTTCAATTTTCCTTTTTTTTTTTTTTTTTGTTCACATTAAGCTTTCTCAATTGAAGCAAATTTTGATCATTATCTCCGACTGTTTGAAAAGTAGTGAATAAAAAAACTATCGACAAAATTTGAAATAGTGGAAAACAATGGTCAAAATTTGATTCATTTCGTAAATTTTAACATGAACAAAAAAATAAGGAAAATTGAAAATGACAAGAAAATCCATAAATTTGTATTACAACAATGAAAGAGCACATCAAATAAATTTTCAGTCCTCTCATTCATTTCTCGCTACTTATAGTTGAAACTTTGAGAATTCATAGAGTGACAACCGATCTATCTGTAATATAAATTTGAGATCAAATGATAATAGTATAAGGAATTAATTAAAAAATGACATGTTCCGTTTATGTTGCGTAGAGGCATATATAAGGTAGAATAGCGAATTAGAATTTTTTATAAACATGCGGTTAGTAATAAATACGAAAGATAAATAGTGATTGAATGAAGAACAATATAAATGAATGAATGGTTACTGCTGTTTCTGTCTATATTGTAACAACAAAGAAACAAAGAATGTCGATACTATTGATCAACGCGACCACTAACACGAATGAGTAAATGTCTTGTGAAGAAGAGTTTCTGCTTCCTATGTGCTATACTAGATGATAAGAAAGATAATATTCTACTCGAGCAACTTATAATAAAATATCTTCTAACGAAATAATATTCATATTTTTTCAAATAGGTATAATTTTTTGAAATGTTTGTATTTATCAAAAAATATCATCAGGCACGTCTCTAAAAAAGTTGAATAATAGCTTTCGATACATCCAATAATCATGCTGCAACAGTCGCCAGATCATTTTTGTAGATCATGTAGCGTAATCAGTAGTACATATGCTGAGCACTGCGATGTTCTCTTTTCGATATCGCGTTCAATGACTTTCTTCAAGTTTTGTAACGTATGTTCTTGCACATAAAAGTTTCTAGTCTTCTTGTCCAACAAGATGACTAATATTTTCATTTTAACTATGCTGCAACATATCTGATCTAATCATTGCAACTCGTTGTTTTTAGAGAAAAGAATTCTAATCGAGTTACTACGAGCAATCATTCGTTGATTCTATTTCGTATTTATGAATGCATAAAAACGAATTTATTTCTGCATTAAAATGGATCAAATTGTCTACTAAATGTGTCAATATCTGTTTATACAAGAAGAAACCCGTTTTAACCATTCATCTGCAAGTACACTCGTATAGGCGTTAGGTGGAACACTGGTACACCAATTCTGTCAGAGGATGCAAAGGAGATGTACCAAATTACGGACCAAACGTCCCAAAGAATCTGAATCTTATTCTATTAACATGGACTCACTATTGTCAGTTTCGTTACAGTGACAGGGATCTCGGTGCAGTGTAATCAGTGCTCAGTTTGTCGATGAAATCACTGTCAGTATTCCAGTATTTGCACTGGAACCGCACATCCCTAGATTAATCTGAACGACACCATCAATAACTAAGTATAAATTTTGTTATATAAGATTGTCTTTTTTGTTTAGATTAATCTGAACAACATTGTCGATAGGTAAATATAAATTTCATTAGATAAATTACTTTTTATCTTTAGCTAATGCTCAGTGACATCTTCAATACGCAATTTTAAATTTTATTAAATAAATAAGTTTTTTTTTAAAATTTAGATTGAACTTAACAACATCGTCAAGGGTAGGTATTAATTCAGGTGAGTAAATAGTTTTCCTGCTTTTCCTGAAGAAGAGCTGAGTAGAGAGAAAAATGGGATGATGGGGCAGTGGAAACCAGGGAGAGCGAGAGCGGACAACAGAGCAAGAAATTTAACCGTAAAATGGATTCGAAGATTCCGTAAAAGCTTAGATAAATATTAGAAGATCTTACAATAAGATCATACAAGAATCGTACTGTACGATTTTATTAGAAATATAGGCCATTTCTTAGACTTCTCGGACGCTCATGTAGTCTCGAAGTGTCTTGAAGTCTTCTAAAGTCATTTGAAAATTTGAAGTATCTATTGTTGAAGCCTCTTGTAGTCTTGAAGTTTGCTGTTTCTCCCTCGGTCAATTTCAGTTAATTCCAATTCGAACTGCAGACCACTCGCACTCGATTCCAATTCTCATCCCAGTCAATTCCAATTCTAGAATTGGAATTGGTGCATCCCTAGAAGAAATGTTGTGAACAACTCGAAAATGTCTTTTGTTACTAAAAAATCTTTACACTAACAGATGAGCGTATTTTCAAAATATTTTCGGTTGAATTCAGAAGATTGAATTTTTAATAGCTTAGTTTTCCAGAAAATTTATTCCGATTTGTTCTAGTTGTTACTCTTAAAATCAGATCTCAAAAATACAAGTATGCTTCGCTCTACGCTGAAACTCAAACTATTCATTCAATTAGATCTATGAACAATTGCTTATAATACTTATCTGTTGTAAGTAATATCCGACTTATAGAATTATCTAACGATAAGACTAAGCATTCTTTCCTTTTGATAGACCAATATCAACTTTTTTTGTTCATTACAATTAGTAATGGTAAGTTTCTTAAAGTAACAATATGCAAATCAAATTCGTCAAAGAACTTATATGGCGTTCGATTGATTAATCCAGAATTAAACACATGTTTATGGATCAAAAGTATTACCTATCCAATACAAATAGATGTTAATAACCCTTGAAGATTTCACACTGTCAAAGGTTATGACAATATTAAGAATATAATTTTTTTTACAAAAAGGATTTATACATGATGGAATTCCACAAACACTGCAGTCATTTATTAGAATATTGTAGAAAGTTCATTATCATAATAATTACGAGTTGAATAAGGTCGAACAATTTTCATACTTAGAAAAAAAAACAGCATGAGACATAAGTCGAATTACTTATTGAGCCATAACAGTCAGATGCATTCGTAGGTACTTCAACTTCTTGAATAGCATCATTTATTAATAAAAGCTTTCGCAAGTAAAACATTTGCTGATCGACTTTAAAGAGTCAGATCGGTTACTATTTTTAATTACACTATTCCACTTCAGTGACACTCATGTCACTTAATGCAATTGATAATACACTGTGTCTTGTGTATCGATGAGGAATGTCTTTGAACTGAATAAATGTTCTGCTTTTATTGATTGACTAAATTGAACTTCCAAAACGTTCACATAATAAAAATTTCTGATTATTATCAGTTGCGAGATGCAAAGTTCGTGTAAGCAATTTTGACGACAAATGAGAAAAAAAAATAAAGTTCGGACTAGACCACCCGATGAGTGTCGATCTATGTATTATAAAAGACGCACTATTAATCGACAATAAATACGAATGATGAAAACATTCAATTTTTGATTTTATGAAAAATTTTCATTTTTAATATTCAATTTTATTCAACAAAAAATTTTCTTCATTAAAACTTGACTTAGCTGTACAGTTAAACAACAAGTCATACTGTTGTATACAATGAGCATCTATATAGAAAATAATTCCTTATTGATTTGATTAATATTAAAACTTATTCTCGATAACATTAAACAATTCTAGATAATAAGAAAGAAAAAAGGAAAATATATATTGCAATTAACTTATCATTGAAACCAATGACATTAAATAGTGATAATATTTTATTAGTAACTGCTGGTTATGATCGAACAATACGTTTTTGGCAAGCTAATACTGCATGTGTTTATCGAACAATCATGCATGAAGATTCAGTAAAAATAATGTTGAAATTAAATATTAAAAAAATTTGCTTTTCATTATTCTTTAGCCAACCAATTGTTTAGCAATACATCCACTAAAAACTTTATTAGCAGCTGGTAGTTATCAACATATAAAAATGTATGATTTAATGTCGAATAATCCGAATCCAGTAATGAAATTAGATCAATTACAGAAAAATATAGTTACATTAGGATTTAGTGAAGATAAACATTTTATGTTTTCAGGTGGAGAAGATCATTGTGTAAGAATTTGGGATATGAGGTTAGTAGATAAATTCATTATCTTAATAAGATATATTATATATAAATGATAGGGCGGCTAAAACAAAAGCTAATCGACAAATTTCTGTTGGTGCTGCTGTTAATTGTGTTACACTTCATCCTAATCAGGTTTGATTTATATTAATAATTATAAATATTTTATTATTTCTTTTCAAACAGGCAGAACTATTAATTGGTGATCAAGATGGAGTAATCTGTCGTTGGGATATGGCTGGTGATAAACATGAAAAATATGTATGTTTTTCAAATAAATGATACTTAATTTATAATATATATCCTCATCTATAGATCATTGATTCAAATAATCCGAGTGCAATACGATCAATTTCAATCAATCGTGACGCTTCCATGATGGCTGCTGTTACGAGTAATGTAAGTATCAATGATTATGTCGATAAAATCGACATTTATATCAGCCAATTTTTTTCATGATTTCAACTGAGATGCTGAACATGTTGTTTCATGATATTCTGGTAAATTGTATATTTGAGTAAACCTATAGGATAGTGGTCGTGAGATGAACAATTCTTTACAATACAAAGAGCAAAAATCTGCAAATCTTTGATTCAAATTTTAAGAGATCATTACGTTATAAGTAGAGATGTAAGCCGATGTATTCATTGGAGGCAGCGGCAGCTCACGAGGTGATAGCTTGTGTTTGAGATGAAACCCAAGACATTGCCTAGAATCTTTTGAGACTAGAAGGATTCTTCATGATGTGCTGTTCTTGTAAAATTATGGTTCTTACACTGGATTTTTACCCTTGCCATGGTGTTTAGAAAAAATAATCGGTCAAACGAATTTTAACTGAACATTTCGTCCATAGATAGCTATTGAAGTCATTAAAATCTCCTAAAAATTCCAGTTCACAAAGACTAGCCTCTTTTCGATATATCGAATCCATTATAATGACCTCAATCTCAATAGTACAGCACATGAGAGGGAATCCTTCTAGATTTTCTTCTAGTTTCAACAGATCCTGCATAATGACTGGGCTCTCATTTCAAACGTGAGGTATCATCTCGGGTGGTTTTCTCGTCAGCCGATCGGGTTATACTGTTAGTTATGAATAAGATACAGACTATTGATTGTTTGTCAAAATGATAGAGAGAGTAGATCACAGATAAACTTTAACTCTATCTATATCAATTCTTAAATAAATAGGGTGATTGTCAAATATGGTCAATGACTGGATTTGATTCACAGACGCATCTTATACGGCGTACAAATTTCATTGCACACAAACGTTATGGATTAAAATGTCTGTTTTCACCTGATATGACGTATGTTGATAATGTTTTCGTAGGAAATAATAATTTGTTTTGCTTTGTGGTTTTTTTCTTTTGTCTATCAGTTTGCTGGCGACCACATCAGCGGATGGAACAGCAAAAATTTGGCGTACATCTGACTTTGCTTGTCTATATGAATTGAAACATGATCGCTTACAAAACTGGGTATGGGATTGTGCATTTACATCGGATTCTGTATTTCTTATAACAGGTTTGTATATTGTCTATTTATTTAAAATTTTCTTAGAAATTCATTTTAGTGTGCTCCGATGGAAAAGCTCGTTTATGGTCAACAGAGACTGGCAACGTTACAAAGGAATATATTGGTCATCAAAAACCAGTTACTTGTCTAGCTTTCGATGATCGAATTTTCAGATAATTAGACTATGATGTTTGTATACATATACATCCCAAAGCTTGTCTCAAAAGAATTCTTTTTTATAGCGTCATCATTAATTGAATTTAATCAACTATCTTTCTCTGTTTTCGAAATAATCGATAAGTTTGTATTTTTATACTGAAAAGTCTTGAAAATAAAATACACGTAATGTAAAATATGAAAGGATTTTATTTTTCATTAATGTATGTACGATTTGATAGAGATTGTTGAGATGGTTACGAATATATATATATACTTTTTATTTCAATGAAGTCATCATTCTTTTCATGAAAAAGATTAAATAGTGACTGATAAGACTAAATATAGGTGACATTTTTTCTTAATACAAATCTATTTTCTATGAACTATTTTTTCTAATTTAGCATAGAAAACTGAATAGATAAAAATTCTTTGTTTAGATTTAAAACTAATAAGGTAAAAACCGCTATTCAGATATGTGCGTTAATAAGTACATTTGCGGATCTATGTAGTTTTTTTTTTTGAGAGCAGATACAACCAACTATCTTATCTCAATTGAATTATTTGATGTCGAGTTACTAAAAGTATGCATTTAGTTTTTTTTTACATAACGTTTTCTCGTTTTAGTATCAAAAATGACCTTGCTCATAAGAGTTGTCATTATTAAAAGTCTGTTGAAAAACAAAATGAATAAAATATTCAGAATCCACATGCAAAAATACACCGAGCTATATACCATTTAGTAAAATCATTTTTCTCAATGAAAAATCAAGCCTATGGGGAGGCATAAAAAAGCTTTTAGCAAAAAAAAATTCTGAGGAGTACGAGTGCCTTTTCATTTTGCTAAAATGTATGAAATTTAGTGTAGTTTTCTCATGCTGATTCTGAATATACTATTTGTTTTGTTTTTCAGCTGAGTTATAATAATGAGAATTCTTATAGACAAGGTTCTTTGTGGTCACTAAAGTAAGAAAAGGTTACATTTTTTCAACAATCAAAATGCAAAAATTTGAAAAAAGTAAATGTATACTTGTATAACTCGACATCAAGTAATTGAATTAAGATAAGATAGTTAGTTGTATCTGCTCTCAAAACAAAAATTACATAGGTTCACAAATATACCTTTAAACGCACGTATCTGAATAGCGGTTTTTACCCTACTAATTTTAAATCTAAACAAAGAATTTTTATCTATTCAGTGTTCTATACCAAATTAAAAAAATAGTTCATAGAAAATAGATTTGTATTAAGAAAAAATATCACATATATTTAGTCTTATCAGTCACTATTTAATCTTTTTCATGAAAAGAATGATGACTTCATTGAAATAAAAAGTATATATATATATTCGTAACCATCTCAACAATCTTTCTCAAATCATATATAAATCAATGAGAAATGACATGCTTTCGAATTTTATCTTACTTTCAAAGCTAGTCTGTACTAATAAAAATTCGATAAACTCATTTGTTATTTCAGAAAAAAAATAAAGATATAGTTGATTAAGCTCAATCATGAGAACATTACATTATCAAACTACAAGAAAGGAATTTTTGAGACATATTGTCGTGCTCATTGTATTTCTGTTTATTTTGTTCTTGTCGAGAATATAAGAAGTCACGTTGATAAAAAACTAAAAACAATAAGATTATTTTTAGTTTATATAAACAAAAAAATAATCTTGTTTTTTGTTTTCAATCAAATTCGAGTCAATCAAATAAGTTGATTTGCCACATCAGTAACGTATACAGAAATTTTGCGATAGGGAAGAAAGGGGATCGATTCTTGTTATTGAAATTATAGCAATTATCAGTTGTTGATTATTATGAGACGTTTTCATCAATATTACTTTGAGGCCTCTTATTTGATATAAAATATGACTAATATCTTTGTACTTTTTACTCATTATTTTTGATGAATGTTTGCTAAAAAATTTTATCGGAATGTTATTTATGACGATTAATAATTATGACCATAAAGCGTGTCCGATAATAATTGAAGATAAATTATCAACGAAATTTTTCATATTTTTTTTTTAATGCAGAAGACTGAAATTTTCTGTCATTTATATGTCCAACCAACATCTTTAATTTTTCACAGTTTCATCTCTCTATGTAGGCATTGATGCTGTCATAGTTATTAACAGCTAATGAAAAGAAAATTTACAATTCGTCTATCGTTTTTGCACATGTTTCTTTTCAAAAACTTCTTCGATTTTTGTGCATTTTTCGTTTAATGCATGCCGCACATTTTTAGTTCTTCATGCATCAGCAAAGTTAGTATTACTATCTACTGGTTTTTGTACTTTCGTTAATTTACTATGCTATGAATTGTGCGATCAACACTTGAAATTATTTTCAGACAATTAAGATTCAATACAAATCATTCACGATCGTTTGTATTTTCGTAACCGGGAAAGAATATAAGATAAAATTTATCATTAAGTCCGAAAGATTTTAGCCGCTCTCTTGTGATTGAATAATTAGTAAAAATATTACTAAAGTTTAGTACAACAATTCAGATATGTCAATCTTGTACATGCATTTCATCACTAATTTTCCATAGACAGATGAAATTTTGGAATATTAAAGATCTTAGTTGGATAGATAATAAATGATAAAAGTTTCAGCCTTCTACATCAAGCAAAAGTATGAAAAATGATGCTGACACTTTGTTCTCAGTTATTATGGTTATGAGACACACTTCATGTGGTGTACGTATATTTGACATAAATTATAGCAAGAAAAAGCGTTGGTAGAGACACACAGTTGACATGAACTGATTAACACAAATGTTATTTCAAACACACGATTATTAAGAAAATGTTTTTGAAGTTCAAAGAACAGCAACCTTCCAAATTGTCAGTGAATATTTTTGTAAGAGAAGCATCGATCCTCCAATCTCTCCTCTAGATACGTCGCTATGCCACATAGAAAATCAAATGATTGAAACACACATAATTCTTAGCAATTCATCAGAAATAACTACTAAGGATTAAAACAAGGTTTGTAAAATTTTAACAAATGAATATATTCGAACAAAAGATAGAATAATATGTACAAGTTTTGATAATAAGCAAAATAACGATAACGATCGCATGTATATAAACAATAATGTCAGAAAATGTTTCAATCATATTTGATTGATATGTACATTTATTTCTGTCTATTTCACAAGGTGTATAGTTGTCGACTACGATTGAAATATTTATTTTCATACAAGTTCATTTACGATATTTCAAAAAAAAATTTATTCATCACATATCTGACCAAACAATAAATGACATCTAGAGAAATAAGAATTGTGTAAATAATAATTATTCAAGCACAAGTATTATCATAAACTTTTTTATTTATAATTAATTTCTAAAACAAGAAAAAGCACAATGGAGAAAAACAAAAGACGATCTACCAATTGGATCTGTACATAAATACAAAAAGTTTCTATAAAAATTGATGATGCATGATTATTGGAATTTAATTCAATTCTAATTCTGATTTTACTACAATGAAATTCAAAGATTTACAATATCAATATTGTATTATTTAGTGTATCATAGAGCAATATAATGAAAAGAGAATTTTTATTGCTGTCATGTATGATTTTATTCTCGATAAATAGCGACATCTAATAAAATTTTCACTGCACAAGTATTTTGTGAGTACTGCCATGCCGTTTGTTTTGTCAACCTCTCATCTTATTGCTAACTTTTTTCTATGTTGTTAGCAATACATCGATCCGTTATTTGTCCATTGTTGTTCATTGTCCTGTTTATATTGTTTATTACATGATTTGTATTTTGATTTAATTTTAGATCTCATTCCATTCTGTCTCTTAATTTAAATAACAATATGGTGCAAACAAGTCCTAGCCCATTTGATGTAAAATTTTGTTTTTTTCTTTTTTTTTGTATTTTTTTTGATGAAATTCATATTTTAATATTCATAGGTGGGCCGTGCATTCGTTCATCAATATTATACACTATTACATCAAGCTCCTCAATTACTTCATCGGTATTTTTTGATTAAAAAAAATAAATTTTCTTTTCTCAAAAAAACAAAAAAAAATTGTTTTTTTCTTTTCAATAAAGATTTTATTCAACGGATAGTACATTTATTCATGGTGGTGTCGATCGTCCAGGTTCTATTGAACGAACAGCAGTTGGTCCGGATGATATAGCTCGACGAATAAGTGAACTTAACTTACGAGATTGTCATGCAAAAATTCGTCAAGTTGATTCACATCCAACAATTGGTAATGGTGTTGTCGTTCAAGTAACTGGTGAATTATCAAATAATGGTCATCCAATGCGTCGTTTTATGCAAACATTTGTATTAGCACCACGGCAACCAAAAAAATATTACGTACAAAATGATATATTTCGTTATCAAGATGAAGTTTTTGATGATGTTTCTGATGAAGATGATCGTTCAAGTTCACAAAATTATGGTGATACGGTAAATAAAATAAAATAAATTATTTTCTCATTAAAAAAAAATTTCTTTTTTAAGGATAAGGTTTCAAATGCTGATTCATCGGCTGCAATGACCCAACAACCATTATTGGTTGCAGCTACATCACGAGATGCACCAGAAGAAGAACAGCCAGAACAACAACAACAGCAACAGCAACCATTACCTCCTCGTGAAGTTAATAATCAGCAACAGGTTATTTCAAATCAACCTATTCAACAACAAGAACCTCCATTGTAAGTTTAAAACAATTAATCAATCAAAATATATTTTTGTGAAACACAATCTAAAAGATCGGTTATTTTTATTTATTTTTTTTAAATAAAGAAATTTTCTTTTATGAGAATCTAATTTTTAATTTTTATTGCATAGCTCACAAAAATTTATAACATCAAAGATACAAATAAAATATATAGAAAAGTTTTTTTTTTTGCATATATGTATTTCTTTATATATCAGCTTCATTTTTTAATAATATGAAAATGATGCTGATGATAAAAAAAGAATGTTGATTAACATATTCTGTTATTATACTAGATATTTGTCTATTTATCTATCACAGAAAGAAATCTTTCTTTATTTTTCGAAATAAAGAATTCGTTTAAGTATAAAGATTGTATTTATACTTATTGTACAAAGTAAAAATAAAGTAATACTCCTTAGCATCATTTCTCCTTCCTTCACATGATAGACGTTGATATACGATCATAGACCGTATATCAATAATGTTTCGTGATAATAAATGAACTACTTCCGTATTATTGCATCTCTAGACGATTAAATAAAACGATGATGAATACATGTATCTCAAAATAAATAGAATAAAACCATCTTCCTGTATTTAGCAACAACAATTGTATTGTGTTTCACATTTTAATATTACAGAAATAGTGCTAACAAGCTTTGTTTTTTTTTTATTTAGAAATGGTCTTAATGAATCAGCTGAGTATAATGGACAGCAAGAACTCGTTCAAGAAAATCAACAACAAACGAAACAAATAACAACTGAAGGAAGTAAGTTAATTAAATAAATAACAAACGAAAAAAAACAATTAATAAATAAATAATGTAACTTTAATTTTTTCTTAGCATCATATGCTGGTGTTGCTAAATTACATCCAACAACTGGTTCAACATCAAATATAAATTCAACTGGTTCAGTTTCAATGCCTCCACCACAACCAACAAATACAAATCGTTCAACTACTGTTAAATCAGCATCGAATCGAACAAATAATCAACAACGAGGTAATAGTAATTATTATCCACAAAATAGCCGTAATAATCAATGGACTGGTAATAATCAACAAGATCAAAGTCCAGGTCGTCGTCCAGGTTCTAATATGTCAACAGTATCAAATGAACAACAAGTATTTGTTGGATCATTACCATTACAATTTACACGTAATGATTTAATTGATTGTTTTTCACAATTTGGTCGTGTTCGTGATGCAAAAATTCAGATGCCAATACATGATAATAAAAAAGTTTGTTTAATTGAAAATAAATCAAAAATACTTTTAACGAAATTAATTTGTTTTTTATTTTATAATAGAATTTTGGTTTTGTCTGTTTTGATGATCCAGAGGTTGCATCAAATGTTGTTAAAATGGAACATATTCTGTATAATAATGTTCGTTTAAATGTTGAACCAAAAACACAAAGAAGTTATCAAGGAAATGCAAATAATGGACCACAAGGTAATGCACGAAATAATAATTATCAAACAAGAGGTGGAGGAGGAGGTGTTAATCGTGGTGGAAATCGTGGACCTTTTCGTGGTAATACAAGTAATCAACGACGTGGTGGTGGTGGTGGTGGTGGTGGTGGTGGTCAACATCTTAATAATTCACCATCATTTACAGGACAAGATGAGAATAATAAAGCTCAAAAACAACAACAACAACAACAACAACAGCAGTAATCAATGAAGACTAGCGGATGATTTTTCTTTTTTCTTTTTCTGTCTCTTTCTATCTCTTACACGACTTTAAACTTTGATTCAAGCAGTTGCAACGATGAATAAATGTTTTTTTTTTGCTTGCTTTTTTTTTCCTTATTGTTTTTTACGAATTTGATATTATATGACGTGAGAACATCGTATGAAGAAAACAAAATTATTGTCTTTCAAAAATCATCCACTGCTTCTGCTTTTTTTTTCTTTGCTTGTTTGTTTGTTTGTCTTCTTTATTGAAAATGCTGTCAGTTTCTTTATTCGTTTTTTTTTGTACACATAAAAACATAAGCACCAGGACGATACGATAAGACAAATGGATGAGAACGACATATTGATAAGTGTGAATAAAATGATGAACGTTAAGAATATATATATATATATGATTATTCATTTGTCTGTTTGAGCAATCAAAAGAAAAAAATTGTAATGTGCCTGTCATTGTCTGTACTGTTTTCATGGTCATGTCTGTTACGATCTGTTGGCGGAAGTGACAAATTTCTACCATATATCTTTCAACACTTCTTTCAGATTGTATTTCACAAAACAGTATACATGGTGTTTTTTTTTGTCTCGATATTTACTTGAATTTCTTTCGTTAATATGTACTTCAGATGTTTGATTATTGCTTTTTAATCGTTTGTTGGATATATTTTAAGTGCACCTTTCCTCTTTCTCGAGTTTCTCAAAAACGCTTCGACCAACGATGATGAAACTTTCATGGTATATAGATCTCGACTAGTAAAGTAAAAGTTGTCATAGACTCAGAATTCTCAGATGCTTTGTTCTATGAGATATAGGGGGCGTAGAGGCTGAAAAAGACCTGAAGTTTTCTCTCTCGTAGACAGTCAGAGTTCATTTTTTGTAGCAACTAGGACCGAATCAGAGTGAATCTTTTTTTTTTCTTTGAAAAATATTGTTTCCTTCGCTTATGAAAAACCGAAATATTAGAAGTCCTGTCAAAAAAAGAACGTGTCTTTTCATCTAGAGCAAATTTTGTACGATCTGCCAAAAACTACGAGAATATTATTTTAAGAAAAGAAAAAATATATACATTCCAATTTGATCCTAGTTATCACACAAAAAATTTCAGCTTAATCGGTCAAAGCGTTTGAAAGAAAAAGGACAGAAAACTTCAATTTTTCTCTTAAAAAGTTGATTTTAGGAAAAACACGAAACAACGTAAAACATCATTTTTTCCAAGCATAGCTAACAATTAATGTACTTGCAAAGCGGCTAGGAGAATATACCGCTGACCTACACAGCACATTTTGATGATGAAATAACTCTATGTGTATAGAAGATCTCTAAAGTTGAGTTTGTAAAGGATTTAAATAAACATGAAAACTTTTCGTTCATATTCCATTCGATAGAGGATATTTCAATGTCTTTTTAGATGTAAAAACATCGAAAATGAAAAAAATGAATTTTTAGGGTCAGAAAAGGAAAGGTGCCCTTTCTACACTATTGATGAATTTAATCTTTACAAATAAAAACTTAATAGTTTCCGATTTCAAATAAAAAAAAAATGTTTTTGATTAAACTTGATCAATAGCAGAGTTATATGTATTTATTAAGTGATTATGACTTTTTGCACACCGTTTATTTGTCTTTTTGTTTCGTTACATTGAGATAACTAGTAGAAGTAGTGTTCGAATTCAGTTAATATAACTTATTATATTTTTGTATAGAGTAGTAAACAAGGGTAAATCCATGAATATATGTGTCAGGTAAAATTAAACAAATAGAAAAAAGATGAGAATAAACAACTAATATTATTTAATTATGTTGAATTTGAATTGAAGTCTAGTTAAATCTAAGAAGTTGTAAAGTTCACAAGCATATGCAATTGAAATCTAGTTTGTCTCAACAAACTTCAAACAAAAAAAAAGGAAAGAATCTTTATGCTTAAACATTTTGAATAATATTTTTTATCAGCCAAAAAAGTAAACAAACAATGGAGATTATTTTAGCTTATATATTCTCTATGGTAGAATAATAACCGTCTTCTCATGAAATTTAATACTTCAAAAATTTAAAATGTTGATTAGCTTGTTTATAAAATCATTTTTTGATATCGATACAGAAGAAGACATCATAGTATGAATAATCTGTTTAGTTAAAAAGAAAAAGACAAGTACCTGCTATGTTTTCCTTATGCAAAAGTAAATAAGAATATATTCTGAAATAACAGAAATTCATTTCGTAGTTTTGCAATTAATTATAAAGTGAATTTCACCTAGGACATATTGAATCATTTTGTAGAATAAGATTTTCTTTTGTTGTATCAAAAATTTGTATGATGATCAAATGTGAAATGAATAAAAAATAGTTTTGATCGAAAAAGTTTGCTGATTTGAACCTGAACGAGGGAAGATTTAAATCATTTTGTAGAAACATCAAAGGAAGATCATTCAAAATAATAAAATATGAGCTCAGAACATAGTAATAACTTGAATGTATTATTTTCCACTGATATCCTAATTGATCAACGAAAAAACACACAGCTTGATAGAAAATTTTAATTCAAAAACAAAAAAAGGCAATTGAATACTCATAACTTAAATAGCTATTACTTATAGTCAATCATCAGCTATTTCTAAATAGAATTAAAGTATAACTATAGCTGTCTTAGTGAGAAAATTCCTCTATGTCTTATATCATTTTTTGTGAGTTATTCCAACCAATAGTATCTTTTATCAATTAATTCTTATGAATGACAAGCAAATACATTTATTTCAAGTAATGTACTTCTACATCAATTAAATCTAGATTATCATAAAATCAAAGTATATTAATTATTTACGAAATATTTCGGAATGAGTACATAAATCTCGCGAAGTTATAAGTCAATCTATTCACTGAATCATATATCTTTTAACAATGTTCAATAGTTTTTAAGGACTATTAGAATGCAGACAGTTGATCATGGTGTAATCTTTATTGAACTTATGATAGAGATCATTATTCGACTTTGTTTTTTTCATAGTAAATATTGATTAAAAGATGTCTGACATTTATATACGATTAATTATTTTTGTTTTTGGTATGGTAACATGAAGAGAAGTATATAAGCCATTTCAGGCAAAACGGGACATACCGATCTTTCATTCGATTTTGATTATCTACAAATATAACCACTTTTTTTTTTCGTAGTTCATAACGTGGTTAATGAAAAGTAAATCGATTCTTTTGAAAAATCTCAACATGCTCAGTAAAAAGAAAATTTTGAATAGAGATTTTGTAGTTTCAAGAGTTGTTTACAGAATATAATATTTAGTTTTATCTCAATTCGGAGTTGTTTTTTTTTTAAACTAAAATGTATGAAGTGAAAGTCGATATCCTTTTTAACACTAGTTTTTGTACTAACGAAGATATCTAGAGTAATTTAACATAATCTAATATATCAATATTAGCTCTAGGAAAATTCATCATCTTGACATACATGTGTTTTAATTTTGCAAGGGCATGTCAGTAACGAATGATTTAGTCCATATGTTGTTTGTATTTATGTTATGCAAAATAGATATATAATATATAATTCATTGTCCTACATTACTTATCTATGATCATTTGAGTCATAAAGAAACTACATCTTCATACAAGTTATTCCATTCATAGTGAATTCAATTTAGATTGTAAGATTATCTTTATCATTTATTATGATTCTTCATTTTAATAAAACTGTATATTTCAACGTTATAGAAAATATGAATTTAATTATGTGAATATAATTTGAAGATTAAATCAAAAGAAAAATTTATCATTAAAATAATCCAAATGTTATATAAGACCATAGGATAAATAATAAATATTGATTAAAAGATTAATCGTTGACGACAAAAATATATCATTATTAGAGAAATTTATCTTACTGAATATTTTGTAAACAGTTAAAAAGTTTGAGAGAAATATCATAATTAAAACAAACAAAAATGCAAATAAATTTGAAGATTTCTAACGATGAGAAATTATTTAACTTATTTTTTTCTTTGACTATGAATAAGCCTAAAATAGATTGAGATCTACTCTTTCATTCGATGGACTCGATTAAATTCAGTAAGCTCGTTGTGATTATAATCAAAGAAATATTGACTTTCTACTCATAAATCATACAAAAGAAAAATAATAATGTAAAAGTCAACTTCTTCTCTCAATCTGCCAGAGGTTAATGACCATCATAATTTAACAATTTGAAGTGATGCTGCAAGAATTCTAATATATAGTGAGTCAATACACAAGTACTATTCAAATTAATCGATTCGAAAATATCATAATCTGAAAATGTCTCTAATCAATATCATTTTTCAGGCGAAAACAACGTTTGACAATTGATGAAGTATATAAACAAAAAAAATCATTTAATATTTTATCTAAAAACACCGAATAAATAAAGATAAATTTGTATTTATATGTATATATATATTTATATTTATATATATATGCGTGTATGTATGTGTGTGCTATATTAATTTAATAATAATTGTATAGATTTTTGTTTCTGGAAATGACAATGACAACGTGAAGACAAACGATTATGAATGAACCGAAAGAGAAAAGCACACACACACCATGTACAGGCAAAGAAAGAAAAAAAAAGAAGAAGAATGACAATTACAATGTAAAAAAAAATTTGAATCGATTTGAGAACGAGAATAAGTTCATCATTTTTTCAATGATCTTTTTCTCTATCGATATTATTTTAAAAAAAAAAAAACGAATTTTCTTTTTAACATTGACATTTTGAATCACCACCTTGTCCAGTACCATCTAAACCAGTTGTACCATTTGTTGTACGTGATGTTGCAGTTGGTTTCGGTTGTACACCTGATTCAGCTGCATTTAAATCAAGTGAACCATCTTGTATATTTTGATAAATTTTTCTTGCTGTTTCAATAAATGCATCTTCAACATGATCTCCTGTTTTAGCTGATGTTTCAAGAAATAATAAATCATTTTCCTCAGCAAAT